ATATACATATATATATATAAAAAATGCAGAATAGTAGAAAGAAGTTATGTGTGAGTGAAATCAGAGATTCATACACAATCTTGCAAACCCTAATGCCAAAAAATAAATACCTATATGCTTAATTACTGTATTCCCTTAAAATGTAGTCTACCAAAGTTGCATATTGATGATACAATTCTGATAGTGGCATATTCCAAGTGAAACTGTTACAGTTTAAATTATGTTTTTTCAGAAGAAATAAACCAAGGGTTATATGGATTTAATAATACCTTTTAAAGGTGAATTACACTGATAAAGTACAAATTTTTTCTCTGAAGAGTTACCTGACTACTCAGAGATGATCTTCTTTGCGCAGTTTTTTCATGACCAGATAAGGTTTGCCTTGGAGGAGTACCAGTGTCCACCGTCATTTTAGTTGGTGTTGCTGACAATGTTCAGAGTTACAACAGAAAGAGACATGTTAATAGTAATCTCAATTCTGCAATGCAATACCTAAATTCCAGGAAGCTTTTCATGAATAAGAAAAAGCTTAAGGCTTGGACTCTTTTTTACTCTGACTATCCAACAATAATGCAATCTGATGGACTGAAATAGGGTGTTCTGGGGCCTGCTATTGTAATTCTTGAAGTAGAAGTCACTATACAACCTCTGAAAACCTGAGCAGTCAGCAGATCTCTGAACCACCAAAAAAGACATTTTCAGTCGCACACTTTTCATAAAATGACGATTAACTGCTAGTTATGCACTTAATTAAAGTAAGTAGAGAAAGCCTTCACTAGGAAGGCAATTATATTTTCAACACTTGGTGCTTACATGAATGATCTGATACTGCAGTATGTGAAGATTTTCTTGAACTCCTGGAGGAAGCAGAAGGTGTGGGGCTGGTATCAAACCTTTCCAGTGCTTCTTTGAGACTCACTGTGTTTATGTGATTGTCAGATCCAGAGTCCTGACTCTGAAGAGACACACACAAACAACTATTTTATCTGATTCAGCACACAATGTACATTTCTGTTAGTAAATACCTAAGACCATGATGTCTCTAATCAACCTCCTTACACAAGTGACTGCAGAAGTAGCGGCCTGTTTGATATCTGTAAGTTCAGTTTCCATTTGCAGCTTTTATCCTTGGAAAAGAAACCAAACCAAAGCCATATAAGCCTAGAAACCGAAATGCATGCAGACACAGGCCACAAACTGACTGCTGAGCTGACCTTCTCTAGCGACTCAGTTCACTCCGAACACCAGCGTAATGACTGAACTGCTTATTCTTTTGAGAAAGGATGAGTTAATTCCACTAGAAGAAGTACTGTCAGATTAAACTTGCTGAACTGCCATGGGAAAACATTTCTGAACTGCCAGGGGAAAACAAGACAGAGGATCTGCACAAGCCGGCTTATCTAAGTAAGACTAGCTGAGCTTCCAAGGACATTAATTCAGAATGAATTTTGTACACTTCTAAGAAGTGGGACAGAGCCACACAACGGAATAGCTCCTGCTTTCCTCTTGTGAATTCCTTTAAGCCATCTTTGTGTGTTGACCTTGGTTTTTCAGATTATGGGTGCTTCCGGTTAGGAAGAACATTAATTTATGAATCAAACTCTGCAGGAATCAGATCTTAACAAGGGCTTATGGGTGTGCCATGCTACAACTAGAAGCACATGAACTCCTGAAAGGAGGAGCGTAAGCGTTATGGGCAGAATACAGTTAAACAAACACTCTTCCTAGACTTCTTTGATCATTTGAAACAGTCATATTATTTAGAGATCAAAATAATTACTTTATCTGTAACAGGACAAAACACTTCTTGCTGCTGTGTACTTGCTTACATATTATTTTTAGTATGAAAGAAAGAAGAGGTAAAATAAAATTATATAAGATACTCACTTTATCTGCTGTTATCTCTGGAAGAGACTCCTCAATACCAAGTTCTCGTCGTCTTTCTGCTCTAACTTCTGCATAACTAGAACAACAAACCAAATATGACTACTATATTCTTGGATGATTTAAAAAACATACCTCAAAAACCAAACTTCTTAGAGCTACCTTGCTTACAAAGTATCTCAGAAAATTTTCCAAAGATTCTTTAAACTGCTATGATTTCTGTACCTCCAAAAAGACCAGCAATACAGCTCCAATGCCATCAGAATTTCTCTAATATAGATTTTTAAAAATAACTTACCTTACAACAGTGTGCGTACAGACAATAAACTCTGGCCTGGAATTCCACTGATGATACGTGATATAGTAATGTGTTTGCAGCCAAATCCATTGTTGACCCTTTGTAAGGAATCTGTAGTAACATGACTTCCCTTTCCCATATTGCATTACTATAAAAGTGAAGAATAAAGTTTACTGTCTTTCCAGGCTGTAAACATTGCAATTACATAATAAACATTATTTCCCAGCTTCATATGGCCCAAAACCATGTCTAAATACAGTATTATGACAATGACTAAGAAGAGGTTTAAAACTGTAGCTTTCTACCAAAGGAAGTTTACACTGCGTTTTTCAGAGAACTGCAGAATTCAACTCCCTATTTTTGTGAGGTTTTTTACATATTGTGAAAAATTTATGTGCAACAATTTAAATACAGCTTTATAAAGAAAAACATAGCTAAACAGAAAGCTTATTCTATTACATGTTTAAACAATTTTTGCATTTATTATATATCATAGAGCTTTTTAAATGCTACTGGAAGGACTGGAAAAGTATTAGTCATAGGGCTGTGCACTCCAATTTACCACAATGAAAATTCTAAATTATAAGATACAGTTAAATCTGGTTTGTAGTTCTGTATCAAAAGAAAACAGATGAAGATCAGCAGTGCAGTAATGTCAAATGAATAGCAGTAAAGACACTTCACTCAAATATATCACAAAATTTCACCACAACAGTTGTGCAATTTAACAAAATTTAAACCAAACATCTATAAAGCAAACTTGCTCATTTTGGCAACTTAATCATACTCACAATGCTCATGACATTTTGCCAGATTATCTAGATCATCCACATGATAATAATCATAGCCTGATGTTCCCAAAACTTCAAATGGAAGATAACCTATTATCGGAGGTGCCCTAATTAATAAAAAAATTAATGTCATTTTATTTTCACACAAAAAACCCAAACAAAATTATTTCATTATATAAGTTTTCTTGTTTACAGTATGTGCTCTGAAAAAAATTAAAAATTAAACCCAATACAAGCTATGAGTAGTTAACGCTGATTAGTGAACTCTAAATATTATAGCCACCACTGTGATTCAGCTAGTATTGCTGCTATACATAGAAGGAATTGCACCTGTGATCCAAGAATAGGAACTTCCACTCTAAGCTATGTCTAGATGTGAACTCTTCATTGGGTTCTTCAACAGTGCACATTTCCTAAAAAGTAAAAAAATAAAAATCTCTCTCAAAACTGCTCTATTCTAATTCATGAGCTCTTTCGAAATTCAGACTTCCTAAGGTTAGCAGATAACTCCACAATCGTTATAATGTTATTTCTTAGACAGCTTCATTGTTTTTGTTTGTTTAGATGCACAGTACTGAAGTAGAATCTAATCTCAGCTGTGCCAGGCTGACGCTCAGTTGATTTAAATGGAACAACGCCAGCATGAGATTAAACTCAATCTCAGTATCTACACACACAGTAGTACAAGCAGAAATCAATAGTTCCTGCAGTTACGCTTTTAACTTGTAACAAGCAAACAAAGAGATGAAACACTCCCACCAGACACTCTGATTACAGTATATGCTTATAATAAGTAAAAACTAACATTAGAAAGATGAACACATTATTTTGAGTTCAGGAATAGGATTCTTCCTTTTAGCGAACAGAGTACTCTAAATCACTTTGGCTTCAGGGCACAGATGCGCACTACAAACAATACATTATTCTTACATTTAGAACTCATGAAATGTAAGAGAATGTATTTCCACTGTTACAACAAATCCTGAAGGTATTCTGTACATCATTTTAAACGTATTCCGCTCAGACATATGTGCAATCAGTGCATGTCAGTCAATTTCTATTGTCCCCTTTCAGAGAGGAAGAGATGCCCCACCAAGTACTGTGCCTTGTGCTGAGACAGCCATGGAGCTTGGTACCCCAAGCCAGTCGGTTCTTTTGCAAACTCCTCTAGTACTGCCTTACGAGAAGAAAGATGGATGATGGAATAGAAGCATACATACAAATACACCCCTCAAGGATTTATAATAAAATTAGAGATCTGTAAATCTTTATTTTTTTGGACACCTGCACATGTTTGTCACACTTGTAGGAGCTTGCAACAGTATTCCAATTGCCAGAAACACAGTAGAATCTACTGATGATGAGATACCACAACAGTTTTGTAAAGACTAAAATATGGAAGCTGCTGCTGCACTGACATAGCATTCACAACCGATGTGGACTGATGAGCACAATGCTGCTCTGCAAACATCTATAACTAAAATAGTCCTGCAGAAAAATATAGAAGACGACTAACTGTTGTTCCTACAAAGGGATCACCTTCCTTTTCATTCTTTCAGGTTATAATACAAAGAGTTTAAGTGGGTATTTTGCAGTTCTTTAAATAGATATTTCTAAGTTTCCTTTCTATGAAAGAAAAAAGTGAATATATCTAAGCAATATTTTTTCCTCACCTTCATCAGTGTAAAATCTAAAGACAATGACTAGAAAGTGAGTTATATGATGGAGGTAATGAACAAAAATCACTCTGGGCAAAAATCTATGACTCTTGGTGTGACTTCCAGTTAGCAAGACTTAACCTTCAAAACTGAAACTGTTCCTAAAACCCAAAGCTCATCTACTTTCCTAAGACTTCAGCATTTAATAAAGCACCAGTCATAGCAATGTAAAAGAAATGACAGAGCAACCATGTATCCTTGAGATACACTTCTGGGTTGCTGTTTCTTTTAATCTAATTATTTTGGCACCAGTTAAAACAAAAGTTAAAATAGTAAGTGCAGGCAGTAAAATCACAGTAAAAAAATCATTGTTAGAGAGGATATAGCAGCAGGTTAGTATCTGATTACACAATGCATTTATATTAATGATATTCCACTGTAAAATACACCTGGGCAGAAGCTATCTTGTTGAACAAGGCACCTTGTCGAAGTTGTCAACAAGGCATCTAGAAAAGAAAGGACTTTCCTTTGTCACAAAACTTACTCTGGTAGAATCCTTTTGGCTGGATTAATCCTGCCTTCTTGATAGGATTCAATCATTTACCAGCCAAAATGCAAGACAAATGTTTTAAAGAAGGTATAAAGCCAAATCCCTTCACTGGGGAGCAAAAATTGTGGCGTATTTTGTTACAGAAGTGGTGGGGTCATATGCAGAAAATAAAAATGTGAACTTTCAGAGATTATTCTCACGAACACTATGGCTTTCTGCAAAACCACTGTATATCCTTGAGAAATTACATTCTAGGTAAAAAAAAAAATCCAGAACCATATACCATCTGAAATAAAGAGAAAAAGTGGCAGATGAGCAGGCAGATTCTATCATAAATAAGGCAATCCAGTACTAAAATACACATCTCCTTACTAGCTGCCTCATGCATCTGTTAGTAAAGTTACTGGGACGGTAAAGTTCCTGACGTAACACTTATCTGCTAGAGTCTAGTCAATGCTAGCCTCAATAATAATAGAAGGTATCAAAAGATTATAAACAAGTAGTGTCAGATTAAAATTCTTCACTCTAACATTAGTCTCCTTCACAAGAAGATTTCCCAGATGAACAGCACTAGTTGAAACCCTTGAGAGGATCTTAAAACCTCTGTAACATGAAAACTTCCTTAGGCACTAGGGGCTCAGAAGTTCAGGTACAGGAATGAAACTTTGGCCAGAGTATAATCTGTAAGGCTTTTGCCCTCAGGAGACGAAGAGTTCTGAAAGATCATAAATGGATGTTCCTCAACTCCCAAATGTCCTGTTCCACAAGTAGGAAACACAAAAGTTTTACTATAGTACAGTCTAAACTGACAGACCTTAAAAGACAGAAATACTTGCAAATACTGCAGGTTGGTCTTTTTTCTCCAAGTATTTCACAAAGCAAAAAATCACACTTTTAACATCTCTATCAACTGTAGGCATAACAGGAACATTATTTAGACCCATAAGGGAAGAAAAGTGTCAGATAAAAGATTTCCATGGCTTCAGGAAAAATAAACAATAAACTTTCTCTGGCATGTAGTCTGAAGAGATCCAATTCCTATTCAGCCTCAGAGAACTGAAGAAGTTTATATGATTTCTCCACAGGCTCCCTACTATGCTTTCAAAGTGCAAAGCATATAGAACATGTCTTCAGAGGCTACCACCAACAATCTTCAACTTACAGGCAAAATATTTAAATGTTCAAAGAGTTCTGCAAGATAGACAGCAGCTTAACCATATATTTCATGGCATTCCTTTACAACTGAATTGCAAGGACAAATGTTAGATAGAAGACTATCCTGCATCTTGATTAATATATTTGTATAAAACATATAATCTGAATCACAATCACAGACTATCCTGTACTGTATCCTGAACACTTATTTTAACTGATTTTGGTGAGGAATAGGATTATACTTAGTAAACTACAAATTTCACACACATCCAATTCTAAACTTGGAAAGATACCTTCATTGTACACTAGCAGTTAAGCAAAATGTTCTCTTTAAACAACTGAGTAACAGTACAGAAACAAAATGAAAGAGTTCTATTACCTCAAACCCAACTCTCAGTTACTGACAAGTAATGTAAGCTTTCATTAAGCCCTACCAGATTCGCTTCTGTGTCAAACTACAGCAAGACTATCAGCAACATAAAATTCACATCCAAGTTTCACTATTAATTTCTCCAGTGAAAATGGAATCTCGATGTTATCTTTCATTTTAATTTAAACTTGCTAAATTATATTCCTATGGACTTCTAAATTTATTTCTTGCATGTTACTATTTTATATGACTATTTAGAAATGGCATTCACCATAACAACTTCATTTGATGCTTTGCATAACACTTCACCTATTTGTGTGTGAAGTAAGAAACACAGACACTTTCAGCTTCATATAATATTCCTGACAGTTTTCATTAACAATATTTGAAATTGTATGTGCATTCCCTCTGAAGTTCTCCTGTTCAGAGTACCTTTAAAAATGATACAAAAGTGATTTCATTTGTACATACCTTGATAAATTGAGGTGTAGCTAATCTAACTGTGGCTACAAAGCAAACTTTGTCTTCATATGAAGGCCGGTGCGATCGCTGAATAGTTCCTTCAAAACCATTGTGCGCTGAGTTGGGAACTGAGGGAAGACAGAGGAGAAGAGGTCAACACAGATTACAATATAAGCATGGGCGAAAATGGGAGTAATATCACAAGACAAATGGCCCGATATTTATCTGATGTGGTTTGCTAATAAATTAACATGCATTAAGAAAAATGTTACATATAATATATACGCATATATGCACAGGAATAGTGGTTGTACAGTAGTAACAGGAACACAATCATCAAGTAACTTTCTCAAAGAACTAAAATCACAGTTAATATGATATTATCTGACAAAGTAGTTTTAAGAAACTAGTAACAATTCTAATCCTTCTTGGTGACTACTAGAATGACTGCTAGAATACATCTTCAAAAACATCTTTAAAACTTCTCTTTTGTATCAGGTTTTGCTAACCTTTTCTTTTGAACTCTGAGGTAAGTATTTCTTTTCTAGGCTTCCATCACATTCAAATAACACAAGCTGAAGACATATTGAGTAACAGAACAACCAAACAATTACATAGGTGAAAGAATCAGGACACTGAGCTGAGAACAAACAAATTTCACTTACTGAATCACAGAGATGGATGGAATCATAAGGGGGCAAAGGACAGACTAGATCTCAAAACAGATTAACCTTATCTTTCATTTCCAGTAGATATCAATTTAGTTTATCTTTACTAAGATCTAATGATGGTGACGTCAAAACCCTGTCAGGCTCTTCCAAGCCTAACTGGTTTTAGTTCAGCTCTGGATTAGAACTTCTACTGAAGTTTCTTCATGCAATTTAAGCTTACAGCTCCTTGCTCTTTCCACCAGAAAGAAAACAGGTAATTCCCTTCCTCTTTGTCTTATCCCTTCTCCTTTGCTCTTCGCAGTTTATCTTGCCTTGTAAGTCAGATTTTTAAACTTCTGATCGCCTTCACTGCTTTACTCTGAACTCTCTCCAATGGCTTTACTTACTCTCGACAAATAGTGTCAAAAACTGGATGAGGACATACAGGTGCTAAGAAGTGCAATGGGATTATTTCATGTGGTTTAGACTGTATTTTAGAAAGGCTATTGCATTTTCACAATTTGGTGATTGGTCATGGTGATTTGCTCGTCTTCAGTTTACATTCCACAGTAACTCCTTCTTCTAAAGGACTGCTATCTAGATGACTGTAACCTTTTCCTTTGTTCATATAGTTTGTTACTCCTAACTGTAGTAACTTGTATTTGTTCTTAGTCAATTTGCCTGGGGTTTTTCCCCAAAATAATTTTTTTTCTAAATTTGAACCTGAATTCTTATCTTGTTTTTAGTGTTCTGGCATCATTTCATGACTGCAAACTATGTTCTATTATTCATAACATTAATGAAAATACTGAACAAATCCAGAAGTCCATTAAAACTCTATTTTGATGCTGAACACTGGTAACCTTTCCAACCAGTTTCTGAAGCTACTCTCCAGCAATTTCAATTAACACATGCTTCCCTTATATGTCTGTGAGAACAGAATATGGCAACTGTCAAAAGCATATTAAAAAAGTCCATTATTGATTTGCAATTTGTCCTCTTATGCACACAGCGTGTTACTCTTTGGTAGAGGAAACTGAATTGATTTGATGCTATTTCTACCTGAAAAATCCACAACGGTTGCTAGTCAGCTCCTTGCTAGCTTCTGGAAGCTCACACACAGTTTAATTATTTGTTCTGGAATATTTTCCAATATTGAATTGCAACCAATAGGTCTGCAGTTTCCCAACTCCTCTTTCCAAGATTAGCACCATATTTGGCCCTTTCAGGCCTGTTTCTTGCTTTCCTATAATATCACATACCTGCACTTGGCACTAAGACTCAACCTCTTCCCATTTTGTGAGGAAAAACACTGGTATCACATTAAAAAAAAAAAAGTATTTTTATTTACAAGATACTATTTTGATAATATTTTGGGGGGTGATCTTTATGAAGACCTACTATTGACCACACTGAACACCACACCTGTCTAGCTGACCAAATAAACATGCCTCTCAAGTAAACAGCCAGCACAGGCTGGCCAAACAGATTAGAGATGTAGTACAGAGGAATAATGTTAGTACATAACTAATAAAAATAACTTCAATGGAAGAGAGAAGGAACTCAGTGCAGAAAACTGTACTGGCCCATCCACTTCACTGACTCCTGTCAGTGAAAGCAGAGAACTGAAATGGGGAAAACCTACATTTTACTTCCAGCTCACTGCATAACGAGAACTGCCAAGTACTCAGAAGCACTGATCTTCAAGTTACTTAGTCACCTGCTTAAGTATGGATTATGTTTAACTAAATTCAGGCTCTTTATTTTAAAGCGTTTAAGTTTCTCTTACATTCTTTTAAAAAATGTTTTACAAGATACAAGTTTTCTTTAATTGAAAGCATTAAGCATAATTACTACATTTTGCATTCAAAAGCACAGACCTGTAATATTTGATAAGCAATTTTTCTTCTTTTTCATTAAAACAATATCATACTATAACTCTGCTTCAAGGTCCTCTTTTGAAAGACTGATTTTAGTTTATCGTTAAGTTTTGCACAATGGTCCCAAGCCTGTTCAGCTGTGAAGCTGCCTACGTATTCCACTCTAACATTGCTGAAACTACTTACCATTATTCAAACACTTGAAATTTCCTATAAATTTTACATATTCGTATGTAGGTTGCTCTTTTGGATCTATTGTTCCTCGCAGCATATGGCAACAGAATTCTAGTTGATTTTTTGCTGAGAAAAGAACAAATAAATTAATAGGCTATATGCTTGATGAAGTGCACAGGCAGCATGAAATGGACAGCAATAACCTGCATACTTATTGAGATTGTGATCACAAATGGCTACAGCCTCTGCTTTTAACCAGTGTGATACTAACTAACCTAAAGAAAAGGAGACCTCCTTTAGAATTTGTGCATGAAGGGCCTAAAATGCTCATGACATAGAAAAACCCCTGAAAACTAGAGCTATCTTAAAGAAGCAGCTGCCCTAAACTTAAGTTTTTTAAAGCATGCACTTCCAAAACACATCAGGCTGCTATGCTTTTCTTCTTGCAAACTGCTACAACCGTCTAAATAGAAGCCATATAAACAAGATGAACATTTCTAATAAATGGGAAAGTCACAGTGTGAGATGCAATGCAATGCTGACAATTGTACTCTTTGGGGGAGAGGACCAAAAAAACCAACAGAAAAAAGTGCTTCTGCTCTTCAGGGCTCACTCGTATGTTTCTGCTTAAATAACACTGGAAGAAAAGAACTGATCGCATCTGATACAAAGTAGATTATTTTAACACAACTACCGTACTGTTTTCGGTTGGGATAGAGTTAATTTTCTTCACAGCAGCTCATATGGCGCCATGTTTTGGATCTGTGACTAAAACAGCATCGATAACACAGGGATGTTTCAGCTATTGCTGAGCAGTGCTCACACAGTGCAGAGGTCTTGCCTGTTTCTCACCCCACCCCAGCCCACCAGCGAGGAGGCTTGGGGGTGCACAAGAAGCTGGGTGGGGGCACAGCCAGGACAGCAGACCTAAGGGATATCCCACACCATATGACATTGTGCTCAGCAATAAAAGCTGGGGAAAGAAGGAGGAAGGGAGAGACGTTTGTGCTTACGGCATTTGCCTTCCCAAGTAATCATTATGCGTGATGGAGTCCTGCTTTCCTGGAAATAGCTGAACACCTGCCTGCCAACAGGAAGCAGCAAAATAATTCCTGATTTTGCTCTGCCTATTCATGCGGCTTTTGCTTTACCTATTAAACTGTCTTTATCTCAACCCATGAGTTTTCTCACTTTTACCCTTCTGATTCTTTCCCCATCCCACCAGCGGGAGTGAGGGAGCGGCTGTGTGGGGCTGAGCTGCCTACCGGGGTTAACCCACAGTAACTACTTACATTTTAAGTATTCTGGTGTCAATGAATCACTTTCCAGCAGACGAGAAGACAATATTTTATAAATTTCTGAATGTTCCCCCTCTGGGATAAAATTAAATACACTCTGATCCACAAGATCAGACTAAAAGAAAAAGATTTAATAAGCATTAAACTAATGCAAGACGTACAATGTCACAAAGCTTACTGTTTTAGTGCAAAACAGTTTCACAGTTCGGAAGAATATTACTGACTCAACAAAGCCACCTGCTGGAATATACATGCATATTTTCCAAGAAAAAAAAAATCTCATTTGATCTGTCTTAATTTTGACACTGTCAACCATTTAATGAAAAACGCCATGAACACAGCAGATATACATACATGTTAAAGTACAATGGAGCTTATATTAATCTCCCCAGGACGGAACAATTCCAATAAAGAAGCATTTTAATTAGAAATTAATAGGTTGTTTTTGTAGGGCACTGTAACCTGTCAGTGGCACCTAATACATTGAAATGACATCTTGAAACAAAAGACAGCTCCTCCCTACATCATATAGTTTATTATCTTACCAATAATTATATCCAATTGCAATTGATTTTATGAATACATTTTATAATCAGTTCTGCAGCTAGGTACACAAAGCTGGAGACAATAGATATGAATGCAGCAAAACTGAACAACTGATTATATGCATAAATACATTTGATTAAGTATTCAGAAAAGAGGGATCATAGAATGTATGTTTAGAATATATAAATCACACCTAAAAGCAAAGAACAAAGGTGCCTCTGAGAACTTGGTAAATTCTACTTTTTTTTTTTTTTTTAAATCACAATTACCTGTACATTTTTCAAAATTCTCGGGCTGATGTCATGCATGCCTTAGGGGAATTTGTGTTTTGCAGAACCATTTTTTAAATATGCCACTCCAAGTTTTACAAAATACTTTTATCACAGTAAGACAACTAGCCTTTAACAATAATTGTCCTTCTCTCCTAGAAAAGAACTCACTGTTTTACTCATCAGTTGTTTGCATTTCTGAGTACTAATTTGCCTCATTTCAGAATAACATTTTTCAAAGGTAACTTTAAAAACTAAAATGTGAAATTTACCAAGGAGCAACGCCACCAAGATTAAAGATGAGTGAACATGACAAAACCCAAAGTATACACCTAGCTTAAAAAGCAGAACCAGCAGTAATGTATTTCTTATAAGAGTTCTTTGGCAAGAAAGGGATAAAAAAGTAGTTTAAAAAAATTCCAAGGATACAGCTCTTTAGAAATACTCTTCTGATTCATGCAGAGGCTGTGATAGATGTGAACTCTAAAGGTTCTCCTGCAGTCAACTGTGTTATATTTCAGCTATGTTGAAGAGAAACTGATGCTAGTCTGGCACTTCATAATCCTGCCTGAGTGCCGGCTGCATTCTGTATTTCCAAAGGAGATGTTTAATATGGGAGATAATCCAGTAGGAGGGAGTTGTGCTGAAGAAAAATCTTGCATTTGTCTATAATGCCAAAAAGGCTAACGATTAATTAGTACTGATAGCGGAACACCATCCACAAACTGATATGTCACTGAAAACAATTTGTACTTACTGGTAAATGTTCAAGTAAGGGAGTTATACTTTCAGACACATATATTATATTTCCATCTGTCATAATTGCTAAAAAAAAACCATCAAGAGCCTGAAATTAAAAATAATGAGCAGTTAAATAAAAAGAAACAAAGTAATTTAAAAGTGTTAAGCTATATTCAACATGGAAAACAACTTAGACCAATTTTAGCTTAGTTTATTATAAAAATGAGAATGCCTTCCACTACTAAAACTTCTTAGTCTTCTTTTTACACTACAAGCATTAAAATTCCCATACTGTTCTGTTCTTAAATAATCTGTAGTTTCAGAAGCAAGTCCATACACAGCTAGCCACTGTTTCCCCCATTTCCCACTCTGTCTGCCTGTTATTTTTAATTCCATCATCATTTTAAACATCAGAAAACTCAGAAAAATGAGCTAGTGACAAAAGCAAGAAGAGGTGGATAAACTAAGAGCAGAACAAGTAAAAGAGGTAGTAAAATCAACAAATTTTGGTATCGCAATAGAAGAAACTTGTAGCAAGATTTTATTGAGAAAAACGGTATTTTTGACACGGTATATTTGAAAACAGTAAGATACAGTTCTGACTGCCTTATCTTCTACTTAGCTCAAACTTATTTCCACTGAACATAACGTAACTATCTTTTAGTTGAACATTACCAAACATAAAAGCATGACAGAAGTGTATTTCTAAACAGGAAATTTTAAAGTTCACATCTTTGAAAAAATTCTTATATCATATTGCTCTAGCTTTTCAGTCAGTAGTTGCAGACATATTTTGTAAGAGCACTTGGGAAACACCAAAAAAAGCCACCAAAAAACGTTCAAAAACAGACACAACTACTTCACTAACTTGTTGGAAAAAATATGCAAATTCACCACAGAGGACCTTTTTGAAAGTTTTTAAATATAGAAAATCAGAACTTTTTACTTCTTAAATCTGTGCCTCAAAGAAAATTTTTAACTATGGAATGAAAATAAAAAGTGCTTATTCATTTACTTTACTATTTTTCATTTAACTATTATTAGAAATTGTTTCACTAACAAGATACAAATGACTTATCCTCATTTCCAAGGAAATGATAGCTTATACTGAAAGTTTATTTCTAGTAGTAATCCAACTATTCATGTAACCTTCTTTAGCAAAGTAATGCTCACACACCATTTTTGGAAAGCATAACAAGCAAAGAAATTAAACACTTTATTGCTGACAAGTTACATGGATGTGTGGAGCTTTTTTTATAATTAAGATTTTCATTTATGCATAAGAATTTTTTACTTAACTAGTACCTTCCTTATGTTGTTAATTTAAAATATCTACTTTATTTTGACAGTAAATATGCTAATTTGTGGACTCGCTCTGTTATAATGTTTTACGGAATTCAAAATGCAGTTAAAAGAAAAACTGTTTTGCATTACTCTGCATACATAGGGATTTTGACTGTTTATCTTCATGAAAATGTATTGTTACAATTAAAATATGAAAATAAAAAGTTATGCTATCAAACTGAAAAATTTCATCATGGAATGACTCCCTATGAGGAAATATTCTACTCCCAGAAAAACAGAAATAATATACCTCTAACATTAACTGTGTGAACTCTTCATTACTAAGGAATGTCGGCTTCCAGTCCTGTCGAATCTCACTGGCATCTGATTGTGCAGTAATTTCTACAATCAAACATATATACAATATAAGGATTCACACTTCCAAAAGCCATTATTTTCCCACTAAGCTACATGTACACAGTAGGAAATAGTAGAAGGTTCTCCAGTCTCCTCTGTTGTTCATTCATTACATATAGATGTTGTTCCTTAAAAAGAAAATAAATGTCTTCTCCCCAATGTCATAATTAGATTTGTCTTCTCTTTCCTTCTACCTGTTTGTGCTACAGTCCTGCCAGACTCCAAAGTAATGCTGAAGTTAATGACAGTAAGTAATGGATTTTGACAATGGAAAAATACTCCTTCCTCTGAGACTGTAATAAAATGTTTTATTGGGACTGTTGTTTTCAAAGATTTAGAAAGTCAAGATTCCTGACCAGTTTAGGTCATTAAAATGCCTAATCCTCAAGTATCTTGGCCAATGCTGGTCATTCTAACCTTTGCACTAAAAATTGTCACTATCCTTTCTCTTCTTCCCCTCTTTTCTGTAAAGAAATAAGGTTACATTCAAGAAAGATTAGGTTTTCAACAAAGACTGTTAAGAGCTGCATGACAGACTCCACTGCAGAATTACTGTCTGATTTGTACACAGAGATGAATTTTGAACAGAGATTCCTCTAGGGTTTAAGAGAAATACATAGATTAACTTCCCAAACATAGGTGAGAGAAACAATAGCTGCTAAGCAAAACCAGACTCCGGGTTTTCCAAGTTGACATTTCATTATCAAAAGATAACTGAAACAACTAGAAGCAAGACGGTGTAGTACTTAAGTTTTGATGAGTAACAAGGGCATTACAGAAGTACTGGATGTAAGAACAACGTTGAACCAGTAATCATGAATCAAGTATTTAGATGAATCAAAAGAACCAAACCATGTCTTTAAGGCTTTTGATTTCTAAAGGACAAGTCTCTACAAAGGCTGTAAGCTAGTTTGTTAGTTCAGACGGTTCAAAGAGCACAGAAAAACTCAAAATTGAGTTAAATATGCAAAGGGCTGGAACTGTCCAGAATTCTGGTTCCCAGACTGAAGGAGGAAAACTTTAGGAAAGAGCTTTAGATCTAACTAAAAGAACAGTAAACAACAGCAACACCATGCAAGAAACTAGCAAGAAGTGGAGAGCTCCAAGGAGAGGGGAAAAAAATACCAACAAATAAGACAGACCAGAATTTCCAACAATCAGATCTCACAAAAGACAAATTGATCAGGTTTTTGCTATCTGTTTGGAAATGGCATCACAAAGCAGTAAGAGTGGGCTGGAGAATAAGGATAACCTAGGTATAATCCCAAACCTAACTTTTCAGTCAGAACAAATATATTGAGCACTGAGGGGTAAGTCAAAGGAGATGGAAATGAAAAGCTCTGCCACCAAAGTAGAGGCAAATTCAAGGAACTTAATGTATTCAGTCCACAGGACACAGATAATCTCCACTTCACAACTGGAAAAGTCTGACTCAGTGGCTCATTCTGGTCCATATAACCATTCTACTTCAGAATTTAAAAAAAAAAAAAAAAGGCAGTCTGGCTTCTGCAGTAGAAAGGATTTATACTAAATAAAAGCTGAAGTTCATGCCTTTAATGAACCATTCTGAATTATCTAACCACAAGTACAGGTGTTCTTTTACACTTCCCATAATTAGAACAAGTATGATATTGGAAAACAGAGCCAAAGTAACACGGGAGAGAATTTGTTTCACTTGGTGACTTCACAGAAATACCTAAAAATTATGGTTGAAGGTTGCATTCAAAGATAAATGGCACTGAGGTCACATCCCCAAGCTAGATACTAGACAGAGGAGCATAGCCAAACTTGCACATTAAACTCCACTCTTCAAATCCTGGATCCGAAGTAATTCTGCATCAGCACTGTGCATCCTCAGAAGAAATGGTCAGCTTGGCCAAGATCTGTAGTATTTATCCGTAGGTTGTATTAATATCAACCTACTAGTTGTAATTATAAGCAGCTAAATTCTTCAGTATTTCATAATTTTCAAAAATTTCTTGTTTACAAATTCAAAGGAAGATGATAGGCAGTATTATCCAAGGAGAAGCTCTCAGTAATGTAATTTCGGTGTGTTTAGCCTGCTGTTTTTTCCCAATGAGGAACAGAATCCACACTGGTCAATAACCAGATAGTTCATCTGGAGCTGCCGCCAGAGTACCAAACCTGGCCAACGTGGAAATGGTCCACAAAAAACCAGAAGCAACACAGTTAATCAAAACCTGGTGGCTCAACACAGTAGGATTTTCAACAATAATGTAGCTAATCAGTGCTGACGAATTCATTTATTGCTAGGGTCGCTCTGCTTTGCTGCAACAGATCCAAGCACATCAGGAGGCAAAACATGCTTCTGACCTTTGCCAACATTTGGTCCAAAACATTTTAATGTAAACCAGTGCAGAGCAATACTAGTAAGCATAGGCAGCCAGAGCTTTAGAGACCTTAATACAATAGTGTAGTCACACAAAGCTGCACTCTGTCCCACCAGCTGAAGGACAAAAGCACCATGCCCTAAAAGGCATCCATCTCCGGAGCTGCTTTTTGTCCCCTTATCCTAAAAAAAATTTAAAAAAATAATCTCAGAAAGCATTTTGAAGAAAAAAGTATAACTGGTGCTGCTGGCTGGCTGACACACGTGTTCATTCTACACTCTATATTGTATGATAGGAATCATCAATAGAAGACAAAGTGATTTTGAAACAGATCCAATTTTCGCAAAGGCCTTAGAACCTACAGAACTGACTTTTACAGAAAAGGAGCCTTCACACTGCTTTTCTTTTTGTTATGAGACAAACACGTCTCAGAGAATTAAAACATCATAATCAATATTTAATTGGCAAAAAAAACCCAAATCTATGAATTCTCACATAAATTATTCCTCCGTCCCTAATTAATTGTTATGTTTACCCTTTTAATGTCACTATTCAATAATCATCTGGTGCTACCTGAACCATAACTCTAATGGAAGAGACATGCTAGAGCACTGAAAAATATCTATCATACCTTAACATACCTTAAATTGACACACATACTGTTGATAAATAGAGAGCTATTCATCCTTCACTTATTTTATTTTATAACCTTATAGCTGCTGCTTTTCTCCCTACTGCTTTCTAATTAGTATGCATGCTCAGAAATTACTCAGGGAAATGGGTTAACTAGTGAAAGAGTTCATTTTCTTGAATTCTTAATCTTGGGGTTTTGGCAGTGTGAACCAGAAGGTGCCATATTAAGAACAAGTGTAGGAGCAGGAACAGGGATTTTTTATATACATAAATATCAAAGAGTCATAAATAAGTGTACGCTTGGTGGAAGAATTTTTTTGTGACAGAAATAACGATCTGTAATGGACTTCAGTACAACATATCTGGGCATATCTCACCATCGGCTGATGCAAACAACGAGAGAAACAAAACATAACAATGACTTTCAAAGACATTCATCGTTTTGATATTTCACATGACAGTTTACAAACCAACACACACACATTCATTGGATGATACACCAGTGGATATGTCTTGAAAATTAGAAAGTTCAGCTAAAAGTATTTATAGATTTTCCAGGTTTTTTTCCAGCTAAAAGGGAAAAAGAAAATTCCCATGTTCATGGTCTGTATGCCCACTGGATGCCAACCCCCTCTCATCAAACCTACCCAATAACACTTGCTGGAGACCACAATGCCCTATTGCCTTATCATCTTTGTTAAAGCAGCCAGTTGTGTGGATACCTGACAAGAAGAGAGGGAGCATTAAGTTCCCTTGGACTGGCTTTTTCAGTGATTTATCTTGCTTTATGTAGAACTTGGAGAGACAAACCAACTGTTCAAACTAGTCTTATCTAAATATCGTAAGTACTTCCAGCAAGTACTTCCACTGAGATGGATGAGTAGTCTTCCTATGAAGCAAAACTTTGACAACTTGCACCTTATGAAGCAACTATATTCTAAAGGTCTCCATCTGTCCAGAACAAAAAACTTCAAGGTTATTTAAAAAAAAATAAATGCTCCTCTTTATGAAACAGACTTCTTTGACAACTATGGGACAAAAAAAAACAAACTAGTACTGACTTTTGCCAAATACTGGCAAAAATATAGTTATATCTCTGCTACCTAAATTACGATCTTAAGAATATCTTTCTTCAAGAGCTCTTTACATTTTTTTGACAATCTCCTTAAAGGAGCTGCAAAACTGTTAATGTTTTATGTACTAAGTGAATATTATTAAAAAAATTTACAAGAATTTACAAATATTTTTTTATTGTTACAAATAATTACCTTTGTGCTTCCGTAAAAAGTCAATGCTCTTCTGCAGTACAGTGGATTTATCCATCTTCCGAGCATTACCTGGAAGCATGGAACCCAGTTCTTTAATAAGTACATTAAATTGATCTCGACGTTTCTTTTCAGACTTGTTTCTAGATACTCTGAAAAACAAAACAGAAAATGTTTTATAACAACTATGAAACTTTTTTATAATAAGCTGCATACTACTGCCAGGCTCCTGATGCAAACAGCTTCTTAAGAATTTCTGCTGTGAGAACTGTCACAAAAACACCTGCTCCGTATCTCAGACACCATTTTTGAAGAGTGGCTTCCTCCTTCTCATCGAGGGGTGCACTTAAGCCTTTGGAATAAAGCACTCTTTTACAAAAATACAAATCATCGAACCACAATTATAAATAGACAACATATCCAAAGAATAACAGTAAAAGAAATGTTGTCAAGTAATACGGTTATTTATAAAAGAATCACTTTTTTATTGCTCAGAAATCACCCTGGTAAGTTCAAGTGTACAAGTATAGGACATTTCTTAGCTTTAAATAACTTAAAAACTTACCTTTTTGCTTTATCTTTGTCATCTTCTTCCACCAGCCCATCAAAAATGCTTCCATCATTTCTGAAAGAAAGAGATAAACATTGGAGCGTAAAATGTCTCTTTTGTGGAGTCC